TGTTGTGGGTTTGCTACACAATGCTCATGAGAGGCAACAAAACATCATCTGTTTTTTTCACATCGACCTGGCTTGTTTTGGAGTGTTTATATTATACAGTTCTCTGTTTTGCTCCTTCTTTCCCTTTAAACAGGTATTAGCTCTTCAGTACTTGCAGCAGAACAGAAGGGACTGACTACGAAAACCTATTTTATATACCTTATGTATGCTAAAAGATTTGTAAGGAATTTAGAGATAGCTTGCATCAGAATTATAGTAATTGCCTTTGTAAACAGCATATAGAAATATACCAAATTATGTTCACGGAATAGAAGAAAGTCCATTGTAGTCGTGAAAACCTCTGAGGCTACCTGCAGCCAACTGCAAATAAAGTCTAAATACGAGCATGTGAAGGTACACACTGAAAAGCCTGACGGTGGCTAGCCTTAAAAACTGTCGATATGAAAATTCACCCACTGTGCCTCCCCAGCAAGGCAAGTGTACGATTTTCTTTCCTCCTTTTTTCCAATCCCCAACTGTTCCTTGTCAGCACTCTTCCAAGCTTTAGGCTATAGTAGGGGCTGAAAAGGTCGTGTTAATTTTCACCATTGCATGGATATGAGGCGGTCAGTAACTGGAAGAAAAAATACTGTCTTTATTACTTGTGCTGTCAGATTAGATGCAGAAAGTGTCTGATCTTTAAGCTCTTGCATAATACAGTTTATAAATTAGTAGAAATCTGAATAGGTCACTGAGTGTAGTTTTAAAACCTGCTGTCATGTTGGATTTACAGAACTTGAAGACTTCTGGTAATAAACAGGCTTATGATGATTTGATAGCTGCTGTTGTTTTTCTTAAGGAAAACCTTTCCAGAGTTCATACCACCAGTGGAATACATTTTCAAAAGCCTTTTGTCAATATTTAGTCTGTTAATCTTCAGGATAATTTTAAATGCCACCTACCAGTGCAATTTAACTGACTGCGTTTGCTTTTCATTTACAGACATTACGGTAACAAGATAGGTCTCACAGTCAGTATTGTGTTTTCCTCATTATCTCAGCTTTGAGAGGTCTCATGCCTGGAACTTCCTTATTCCATGTGATACTGTGAATTTTTATGCAGATGTTACCGATGTCTTTCTTTGCATACTTTGGTTTCCGAGCAAACAGTGTTTCCCTCACTTCTTAACAAATAAGTGTCCCTTGACATTTAATTTGGCTGATGAGGTGACACAATTTTAGGTGTAAATTAGGCCTCCTATATCAGCCTGCATCCCACCGAGGTATCTTCATGGGAGATCATGTGTAGGCAGTCATATTGGCCTCCCCTCCAGATACAGAAGGTAGTTTCATTTCTGCAGAGGTCCCCTGGAGGAGTCTGAACAATGGGGCGTCCTGAGGGCATGTCTTGAATTAGTGCCTCGTCTGGCAGTGCTGCCTGAACTCCTTCATGGGCAGCACTGCTCACTGGGTTTGCTGTGTGACATCCCATGGCCCGGTGGGACCTTCACCTGGGAGGTGACAGAGTTGAAGTCCGTGGCAGCCCGCGCTTTTGTTCCTGGTGGGGCTGTATGGGGTTAGGAGCCTCTTTCACAGTGTTACATGCAGTTCTAGTTTATTCTACCTGTAGGTTCCTTTATTAAGCTAGGTCCCCAAATCTTTTGGAAATTATATGGTGTGGTCTCTGTTTCATCTCTTGAGAAGTATAATCAGGAAAAATGTTAGGGAATTAATCAGAAGGGAGACTGCAATGCAGTGTATGATGACTGTGAATGTGGTATAGGAGAAAAAAAAGAGAAAATTACTGTCTTCCTACAATTCAAGTTCCTTATCAAGGTGGATTCAGTGCGGACTAATAATGTATTTCTGGGAAAACGCTATTGGGGGAAAAACAGAACAAGGAAACAAATATCATCTGAACGGTGAGGGAGAACAGAAGAAAAAAAAAACGCACTATAAAAATAGATTTTATCATATTCCAAATGAAACATTTCAATTTACCATTTCTAAATCCCATTTCAAGACCAAATTCAGGAAAAGGTAGAACAAAACATTTATCTACTGTTTGAATAAAATGGTATTTCAACCCCTTGTGACATTCTTTCCTGTTTTTTCATTTGACCAACCAAAATGAGTTTTCCTCTAGTTTTATGGCTGTGATTTACTAGTTGAGCTGAGAAAATAATTGTTTTTCACATTCTTCCTCTCACTGTGTTCCAGGCATAGGACTGGATGCAGAGTATGGGAAAGTGAATGGTTTGGGAAGGAAAATAAGAAAGTTTTATCCTCAAATGAAGTATAATTTATTTTGTGTGATTGACTAGGGATATAACTGTTTTGCTCTTACGAGTTTTCATCTGGATTATGGGTGAGACTTAAATAATAGGTTACTAAGCTTTGGGATGTAATAGCTTGTCTAAAATTAGGATTGGATTATTAAGATTAATGCAATCTTTGTAGCTTTTGTTATTATTTAGAATGCATGACATGCTCTTTAGTGCTAGAATTGATATTTTCATATCCATTTCCAAGAATAAGAAATGTTAAAAGATAATTCAAGCATCTGTTAAAATCCATCAGAACAGCTCCATAAAGCAAAGGATAAAACTTTTAAATTAAAATTGTACTCTGCGGGAAGTTTTCTGTCTTGACTATTACGTGTGCTCCGTTAAAACGTACATGAATTGCAGCTGGTTGGTTGTTCACGTTCATCTCGCTGCACACCCTAAGGACTGTGTGACGCATTTTATTTACCCTGATCATCAGCATCCCTTTTGCACAAGCTTGTTTTCTGACAGTTCCAAAAGGAATTATAATTGTTTACCCTTAAGCATGACAGTAATATGGTATGATTGAAAGCTAAAATGTCTCACTTGCTCAGTGAATGATTTGTATTTGGTAAAAGGACATTTTTTTTCCTTTGGTGTTATTTTTTAGCTTTTGTGAATTTCTTAAGCCCTAGACAGAGCTTTGAACCTTATTGATCATGTCACCAGCATTCACTGAAGAAAAATACCAGGTACTGACATCAGTTACAATTATGTAGTTTACGGTGGTGCAAGGGACATTATTTTTACAGTTAGAGAGTTTCATCTGATAATACAGTTTTTGTGTGTGTACATAACATGAGGTGCTGGGTTTGTGTGTTTCATAACCTTGTAGCTTCTGAAAACCAAACTCTGTGTGTGGGAATTGTTTAGAGTTTTCCTGTGTATTTCAAATCTGACACCTCAAGAATCCTTAGTTAACAGCCTTGTCTCCATCCCTACAATAAAGCAGCTTTCTAGCTTGAGTTCAGCTGAGTAGTGTAATTTCAAACGAGTTTTAAAAAAACCTTTATGGGAAATCACACAACTAAGTACAATATTGATTTATTAGAACCCTCAAAGTCATGCTTTGGGGAAGATGAAGAAGGGAACTCTCTTAGCACAACTTGTGATAAAATAAAGGCAGTGTAATCCAGTCAAGAAAGCAAGGTCTTGTAGCCTTAAGAACAAAGGCATGTCCTACTGCCTCAGGTTGCTTGTGTGCATGTGAAGCACAAGGCAGCAGACACACAATACCACATTGTCCATCTGTACCTGACTGAATATGCCATCGCTGTCTTTCAGAAATATCGACAGTATATGTCTGGACTTCTCACTCCTCCTTATGGTGTTATGGAAACTGGCTCCAACAATGACAGTAAGTACAAGAAAATTACATCAGACATTAGAAAAAAGAGAGGAAAGGGGAAGATAAAAGTCCTCTGATTTTGGATGTTGGAATTTAAATGTTAAATTCAATTCAGTATTATGACTGTATTAATACTACATATGTTAGAAAATACTTTGGAACTTGCCTAACTGTATGCGGTGTGCACGGAGCTGTACACAAATCTGCACTGTGAGCCAGGCCTGTTGGCTAAAGCATACTGTAGGATTTCATGTAACATTTAACTGCTTAGAGGTGTTATATGAAGTCTATGAAACAAGGCCGTGAGTCCTGCTAGTAAAATAAATACAACAAACTGGCTTATATTTTTAGTTCGGATGGGTTTCACAACTTTCTTGGGAACCTAGGTGAGTGCTTGGGCAGACAGCCTGCAGTAAACACGCTGCTGCCTGACCTTAGTTACATAGTCACTTAAGTCTGGGTATGCCTCTGCCTCACGAGAACCTGTCCAACTGTGGGATAGTGCTGTAGGCACGAATCCAAGGGCAGCCTTTGGCCCTTATCACTTCTGTAAATCAAGGTGCTTTTATTTAGTTGCCAGAGGATTATTTAGATGCCAGCCAGCACAGTATCTGATGGCTAGCAATTGCATCTGTCAATTTTGTCCCATGTGTTATATGTTCAATATGTTGTATATGTGAAACAACAAGCACTGGCATAGCGTAGCATAGCAATGCTAGTTAGTGCAAACTCAGTGTCACAAGATGAAAAAATATAAAATTCCTGTATAATACTCCAAATATTAAATTGTGAGGAAGTACTGTGTTTGGAAAACTGTTCGTAGTATTTACGCAAGTTAGCTTTTTGGGTTTTTTGTGTTCACAAGGTGAAAGTTTTGTCGGAATAAATCTGTTTTGCACTTAAAAAATCATAGATTAATGTGTATGTTATCAAAGTATTGAACCCTCCAATTCCATATTCTATTGATAAATATCTCCATTGTTACTTAAAGAATATACAGTATTTGTACATTTTCTGTATTCTTTTTTTAGGAATGCCAGATAAGGACAGTATGTCAAGCAGTGCTCTTTGCCAAATTTCTAAGAATTGTAACAAGGTAAACCACATATAGTTTTGCTTTTGTTTTTTGATGGGGATGGGGGATTTTGCAATGAAAAATGCAAAAGTAGAGCATTAAATTGAAAGGAGTGAGGTACAACTGCAAAGCATGTGGTTGATGTATTTGAGTACAGTATACAGATTTAAGAATGCTTTAGTCCCTATCATATAACTGGAGAAAGCAACTGGTTCAGAATCAGCATTGTTAGAAAGTGTACTGCTGCCATAGTTTGTGTTATAGTCTGGTGGTCCTGTCTTTGTCAGAAAGGTGCTGAGGGTAAGGAAGAAAAGCAGCACTGTGACAAGACCAGTCCATAGACAATGGTCGTAAAATTCATAATTAAATCCTGGTTTAAGGCTTAACTGAGTCCTTACGGCTGCATAGACATTGTTCTGGCCCTTTTCTCGGGGTGAATATTCTCCTGTGTTCAGAGAGCAACTTTACATCCCAGTTCCCCTTTGCAAAATAGTTCTGTGCCTTCAATCTCACTGGATGAGGACCCACATGAAAGAACACATGAATATTTGTACCCTGTGCTGGGCTTAAAGTAACTATAATAGTGGGAAGAAATAGTATCGGGCATTGCTGTGCAGATTAATAACTTCTAGATTTTTTTTTTATGGCAGGAGTAGAAAAGTTACAGTGATAAACAGATGCTTGGATGCCTTCTTTCTGGAGTTTAATTGGATGCATTTGTGTGATGTCTTTAAAAGGTTAAAGGTATTTTTGTTACACAAAAAACATCTCTTGACAGCAGATAAAGACAATGAATATTTTAGCGTGTTTCCTTAATGCAAAAATAACTACTTCCGTCTCTCCCTGTCTGTCTGTCCTGCTTCCTCAAGGGTATTGACCTTTCTTAATTGTCACATTCAGCCTTTCTTGAATGTACAAATGTATCGGGAGGCAGTTCCTTTTTCTAGAGTCTTACTAACTAACGCTGTACTACTTCCTGACACAGTCTTATCCTGTATGAAAATATGTATTTTTCCATGCACTGAGTAATAATTCGTAGGTATCTAGATAGCACTTTTCATTCTGTAAGCATTTTACAGTCATTTAATGTGTTAAGTTTCAGTGCTTCTCCTCCAAGATGTTGGCATTTCAGTGCTACGCTTGGAGTCAAGCCAGATCGGGGGTCTTCCTTGACCTCACAATGAAAGCACCAGGGGTAGAATCCACACTAGAAGATGTATTTTCTGAAGGAGGTAGAGCTAACAATGTAAAAACATCTGCCTTTCCTGTCAGGTGGTATCGCACCAGTAACGGATAGTGAAGCTCTGCTAAGGGTGGTATACGCTTTCAGACAGAGGGTATGTCAGAATGCGGGCAAAGTTCATCCATTAACAGTGCTGGGGGTAGCTGGGCTTTTTTGGCGTAACAGGACTCTTACCGCGCAAAGCAGCGTTCACCTGGGTAGGAGACAGAACTTGGCTGGGGCAGGCTCAAACCGTTCAATGACTCCTACAGGGATAAGGTCCTTTGCGAACCATGCTAACTTCCTTTCCAAGACACACGTAAACCAGCCATCCCACGCTGTCCACATCTCTGTGAAGAGAGGCTGAGAGTAAATATGTGACAGATGCTTGTCACCTTATTTGATTGCGGAGGAGCTCAGACAGCCCCGTGACAAATGCGGTAGAAGAACCTACACAGCACAGAAATGGTTCATGAATTCTAGTTCTGTGTTTTTGCCGTATGGCCACAGTTCTCTTCAAATATGTTAAGTGAAAGGTAAGTGAAGCATAGGTAAATACTGGAGTATTTTGTTTACTGCATGCAGACTTCATCCCTGTAATTTTAAACTGTGTGACTGTTACAGTGCTTACACAACACATAAGTCTTCATGCCCTGCAGTCAGTTTTGAATGATCAGGGAGATACTGGGATTGCAGGGTCAAATTACCAGAATTGTTGCCGGCTACTTGAAGTACAAAATAACAGAGTACTAGAAAACAGCCCTGTGTTTGTAGATTTTATATATTTTACTTATTTTAGGGTGATATGTGATTGTCAAAATGGCTACTGCATCAGGGAAGGGCATTCATCTGGGGAAAGGGAAGTGTTTGCAGGACGTCTTTAGACTACTTTATATCTTTAGATTGCCAGAATGAAGCCCATGGGACTGGCAGGAAATACAGCTCAGAGCGGCCTGCAGGGTACTCTGTAATGTCCAGGAAAAGACTGAGTGAGGAACTTTCTGAAATTCAGGGAAAGTTCCTCAGAATCTTTCACAGGGTAAGAAAATATTACACTCTTAGACAAAAGGAGATAACGTAATGTCTTCAGTAGTTCTGGTCGTAGTGATGCATCTATTTCAGGGGGCATGCTGGGGTATGTTTTAATTTTCCAGGGAAGTTCATAACTAAAAATAATTTGCTTCAAATGAAATTTAATATATTCTACTCTTGAAATATGAAATGCATGTTTTTCTCTTTTAGCTGCGCGTAGTCTTTTATAAGAACTGTAAAAGATTATTTTCCATATTTGCTAATTATTTGAGTTTCATCTTCCTAGCTTTTTTTTTTCCCTCCTGTCACATCTATTAGTTTTTGATGAGTAACATAAGATTTTTCTTTTAATACATGCCTTGAAATTTTCTCACCATATGGGGATGTTTGGTTTTCCTGGTTCATTAAAATCTATTAAAAAATTCTGTTTGGAGAAGGCAGCAAAGAGGTTGGTTGGTTTTTGGGTTTTTTTTTTGTTTTGTTTTGTTTTTTACCAAACACAAATCCATTTGCATTTAGGGTTACATTAGTGCACATTATTTAATGCAATATAGGAGTTAAATTGAGCATAAAATACTGAGACAGAATATGCTACTGTCCTCAGTTATATTTTGGGGAATGGAAACAAAGTCAATTTAAAGCTGTCTTACATAAGGAAAAATAACACAGATCCTGTCTTTTTAACTAGTCAGTCTAATGTCTGTATACAGGTCTCTCTAGCTCTAGTTTTTGAAAATTCTCATGGGGTAGAGTTGGATATAGCTTGATCTGTGAGATGAATATAAAAGCCAAAATGACAAAATCAATAATAATTTCAAATACATTTTTGGAAAAGATACAGAAGAGTACTTAGAATGCAGGGGAGGTCGGGTTCCAGCGTGCAGGCAGAATAGGCAGTGGCTCTGTTTCCATGTATTACCAGCAGAGCTGGCAGCAGGGTTGCATGGTGCTTCCCACTGCAAGATCCTGTTCTTACAATTTGGCCATTTTTTCACTGTTTACGCTGAATTTGCCATGCTGAGAGTATGCTTCTGGCTGATTTTTAAATTGAAATGGATCAAACCTCTCTGACATTGAGGTTGGGGGCAAATACATAGCACGTATTAAATAGCTTTTCCCAGTGATACGCTAGCAATCCTATCCTTTGGACTAGGATCTCGACATTTGGGGCTTGTTCTGGCAGTAAGGAGTGCCATTTGTGAGCCCCTACAAAATAAACCATATTGTTAAGCCTTGAAAAATCTCATTTGAAACTGGCTCACTAGAGGCTCATTACAGTTTAACTGCAAGTTGTGCACACAGGCTGCGTGCGATGCGTGTGCAGAATTCCCACGCTGTTCGTCGTTGGTCCTGGGCTGCTTGGGCATTAAAATAACGGTGTGGGTTTTCTCACAATCACTCATTCTAGTTGCTACAGCAACATTTTGATAATATTGTAAAGCCAGACACTAACTGGAAACCACAGTTGTCTCCCCTGTGCTTTTACACCCTCTACTGGTGCCCAAATAGGAAATGAATAAAGAAATAGCCTGTTCTTCTCTGTAGATGTGAGATGTAGGATAATTTTAAAGAAGAGGCATTGCAGAAATGAGTTATAGAGGCACAGGAATGAATGTGGGTAAGAACAGAGGACAGACCCATCAAGAGCATGAGTCTCCACTCTCCTATGGGGTGTGGTGCTGAATGCTTTTGTCTGCTATCAGTAAATGGCTTAAACTCCTTTGCAAACTGTGGATGTCGTGCCTGCGGGAGCCTAGGAATGATCCACAGAAAAAATAGAAATCTGTGATTAATAACAATTACTCTGTTTATCCAAGTAGTTGATAGTTAAAAAAGTCCTAACTGCTAATGATCCAAGCTGAAGTTTTATATTGTTTTCCATAACGGAATCTCCATATCGCAGTTTGATAAAAGAACCCCCACATCCGCAAGAAACTACACCAAAAAAAAATTCTGCTTGAAAGGAAGGCTGAAAACTTAAGTGATCAAAAGCAGTGAATTTCAGGAATGGAGGTTGACTGAGCCATGTTAATGAAGTCCTCTTACCCATGTTTGCTGTGGTACGGGTGTTCATTATGGTACAGACTTGGATTACCTGCTCGCAGAGATCTTTCCTGTGACACACTCAATTAAAACCACATCTCACCTCCAAAACCACGCTAGCTTTCTTTTTGTACAACTTAAGCTCCATGACTGTTTCAAACCTACATAAACTTGTGCCTTCTTCACTGAAATACATCCTGAAAGGCAGAAAGTGCTGCTTCATCTCCTTTGTACTGAGGAAACCATTCTGAACACAAAAGATATAAGCAGTTTAAGTTGTGTAGGTTCCTACAGTCACTCTTGCTATTGGGTGAAGACTATATTTTTTTTTCCAAAATCTCTCTGTCATGCTTTATTTCCATTATATTCCCAATATTGTATTTAAGTTTCTATTGCGTTAGAGAGTTGCAGGAGCTCCCCCTAGTGCACGAAGTAATATTGGAAAAACACATGGGTCGAGTTTGTGAAGCTCACAGGCTGAAACGTCCTCTTTATGTGTCTCTTTTATTGACTCCAAATCCTGTAGACTGACAGCTGTTGGGAGTCACTTATTTGAAGACATTCTGTATAGCAAAATCCTACAGGATGTGCTGAAATACTCCTCTAAAAGTCACCTTTTCATCCGTCTTCGTCCCTGGTTAATTTGATGTGATAAAATGTAGATTCCTTTACTGAATTTTCAGTAAGTCTTAGGTGCTGTGCTGATTTTTATGCGTTTAAATAATTGGAGTAGTTGTGAAAGCAAGATTTTGTATTTTATCAACTTTAAATGCATTGCATAAAATTATATTGAAAAGATCTTTCAGTTGACAGAGAAGGACATAATCTAAGTGGTAATCCTCAGAATATTGCAATTTTCAACTTTTCCAGGCAAATGAATATTCACTTATTTCAATTTTCAAGCACTTAAATATAGCTCTGGGCATTTGAAAGTATACTGTTTGTAAAGATGACATTACAACTCACTAGATGCAGCCTTGAAGACTCCATACAAGGCACCAATAATAATCATGTTCATTCACTGTATTAGCTGATCTAGCAATAAACACAATAATTTTACTTCTGATTTCCCTATATTTCAATTACTTCTCCCAAATGACTGAGGAGAAGGCTTGTCTTTTAACGTGTTCAAGTAGGTTGTCGAATGTGGAATTTGTTAAAGCATTAGCAGAATGTTAAGGGAAATGTTTCACATGCTCATGAAATTGTGAGCCTACAGGAAAGAATAAAAAGAGGGCGAGAGCAGGAGAGCAGGCAGTGTTCTAGCAAGATTACAGATGCAATGACAAGGTGTTTGTTGGGAAGTGGAAACCTCCCCAACATTCACATGAAAACTGTGTTGAAACTGATTTTTGATGTGGATGGTTTATATAACTGCCCAGTGATATGTGCTCACTAATTCCTATCCTCTCCTGGGCTCTGTGCCAGCGTCAGTTCTCTCACACAATGTCAGCATAGGGTTAAAAAAAAGTAATTCCTGTTTATCTTCTGGTTTTGACATGGTTGCATAAAAGCACCATGTGCGAATATTTCTAAATAACATCTTCATGCAGTCCTAAATGTAGCAATTAATTTTAGGGGCTGCTCTGATACTTTGGCCCTACTTTCACATATATGAAAGTGGCTCAGAGGTCTGTTCAAGTTCTTCACTTTGCTCGAAGTGGAAGTGCTCAGGGTTCAATCGTTATCGCAGCCTGTAACAATTTGGCTAGTGCAGCGGCTGTGCATATAGTCCCTGGCAATGAGTCACATGGTGACGGCATACGGCAGGAGCAATAACAAAGACAGGAGTGTGAGATGAGTAGCAGTCTGTGAAAAATAC